GAAAGCGAGGGAGAGTGAGTGAGAGACAAAGCGAGAGCGAATGAGGTGTGAGAGAAAGAGAGAGAGAGAGAGAGAGAGAGAAGAGGTAGCAGCAAGACAATAAGAAAAAAAGAAAGGCAAGAGAGAGAGGGAAGAGAGAGAGAGGTAGGAATTTGGCAGGGGAGGATGTCAAGAAAACCGAGAAATCCACTAACCACTACTAGCACGGCACCTCTCCAAGTGCCGTGGTTTAAATTTTAATTCAAGCGCGCCCATAGTAAGAGACAAGCTGATAAGCCGTCACTTGAAAGATTTCGCCTGACCCTTTTACGACAATTTTCACGAACCACGTGCCCAAATAATATTTCCCGAGTCATTCGGCTGCCTGAAACTCGTTCCCAACATCGATCACACTCAGGGTACGCAGAAGTGTGATCAGCCCAACAACATGTCATTTGCCACCCTGTAGCCTGTTTGGTCTTCCAGAATTTTTTTTCGAAAAAAAGCCAGAATCCGGTTCTCCAGCGCGCAATCTATAATTTTGGTTATTTTGAATAGGCCAAGATGAGAAACTTTTAATATGTGAGAACCGGGCTAACGGAATTTTATGCAAAAAATAAATACACCAAAACTGAGCATTTGAAATAAAGGCCACCGGAGCAAAGAATTGTTGCAAGTCTTGGTGACTTTATTGGTGTTTGACTGAAACCACTGCTCGTAGCCAAAATAAATTTATTCAGGTGCAAAATCGAACGAAAGTTTTGCAAGTTTATCACTGGCGTCCATCATCTTGTCGTTCAAGATTCGTATTACGGGTATATATTCTTCACACATTTTTTCCACATCTTTTGACGTTTGCTTAATTTGTTCGGCCAATTCCTGGCCAAGGGAGAAATCGCCTTGCTTGTCAATCAGGGCTAATGCCTGTTCTTCAGCCTCCACAAGCGACTTAAAGGTTTCGCTTGTGTATCGGTGTAGCCCGGCCAGGTTGCCGGCATATCCCGCATAGAGCCCTTTCAACCCAGTCGATGTTTCTTTGTCGGCTGTTTGATCATCATGACCTCGATTTGGCTGTTCCTGGCTAGCGATCATCCATGTGTTTGTGAAATTTCATAGCACACGCCCCACATATCGTCTGCTTGCAATCATTGCATCGAAAAAAGAATTGTATGTCGTCTACCTTCGCGCATTTCTTGCATGTCCGCTGGGGCTCTGACAGTTTGAGTTTGTTCATCCCATTAGAACCATCATCAGCATCGGTCTCCGCTTCGACGTTCAGCCGATCGAGCCATTGGATTTGCTTACGGTACCGCGATCGCTTGTCGAGGTTTGCTTGTTGTTCGGAGTCTGAAAGAGCAAATTTTACGCACTCGAGGCTCCACGCCAGATACTGCTGATAAAATGTTATTATATCACTGTACGGCGCGGCTGGCGCTTTTCCGCATTCACCGCATTTGGGCGCTTTGCCAGAGACACATTTTGGACAGCCTCGATGGCCACAAAGGAATACGTGCGCAAGCTCGAGTGACGTCTTGCAAAAGCTACATCCAAGCGGCGTTGGGCAAGGCTTTGGGCGCAACACGAATGTGGTGGCCGCAGGTGCTTGATACTCGATTTTCATCTCGATGACTTCGCTGATAAATGAGGGCATCTGTCCACCATCGACAATGCAAGTGCGGCATCCCAATTGGCCTTCAGGAGTGTAGCAAGGCATTCGATCGTTATTGGCTTGATACTCATGCCGGCAGTTTGGACAGTGTAAGTGTGCTGCTTTCCGCGGATCCATTATCTGAAATTTGAATGTTTTAGGATACTGGATAGATGGGGTGGTTACGGAAATTCGAAGAGATAATAATACATCTATATAATATAAAATAAATACAGGGTGTCCCCAAAATACCCCAAAAATTTGAGCCAGAGGGGGGTCCGAGCTGAAAATTTGCACAGAGGTAGCGAAGGCAATTTTCTATGAACAAGGAAAGTTTCAGCACGATCGGCCAGCTGGTTTTAAAGTTATAGCAAACATACTTTTCATTTTTAATTTAATATGGGGATCTTTGCAATTTGCATCAAAGATATGCGTTATTCCTGCATTTACGAGCCGATTTTGCATAAATTTCACTGAAAAGTGCCATTTTCTTGATGGAGCTTTTGGAAAACGATTGCTCATGTAGCGAGAAAATGATCTGCAAGAACGATGAATACCAGAGCTCATGGCGGAAACTATCGTTGGGTACACATAGGATAGCGGGGGGGGGGGGAAATAACGGGGGGGCACTCAAACTTTTTATATGATAAAAGTATTTTTAAATATGCTTTTTTCGGGCTGTAAAAAAACTCTTAGTATATTTTTCGGTCCTCTATCGAATGGCATTTTCAAAATACCGAAAATGTTCAAAACGCCGAAAATTCCCCCCGCCCCTCTTATCCTACAGGGTGCGGAAAAAGTTTTGGGTGGCTCGGTTTTATCTCGAAAAATTGCCGTTCTGGGCGATACAGCGATATTTTTTGGAGTGTCAACGTAGATTTGGAAGTGCTCTATCCGATTCTGGGAAGCATAAGGGTTTAAAAATTAGTTGCCGCATGATAACCGTCGTGGAAACACGACTGCCCTAAAAAAGGTACCTTCGTTGCTGCTAGGAAATAGTGACCATAACTCTTCGGATCCTATCACCAGGCTTTCCCCGTCTAGGCTCATGTTGGACTAAGAATAAGCATTATCCTATACCGATATTATATTCGTTTTGACGTGCTTTGCGAAATCCTGGGCGGAATTAATGCGAAAATCAGCATCGTGCCGCGGTTTCCGACCATTTTGGCGTTTTGTGAAGCTCAACCTGGAGTTGTTTTGCTGTCTGCATCGAATGTTCGATCGCGAAACATCCTTATTTACAATAATCATATGCATAAACTATCATTAATGTGGTGCTTCACGATTTAACGGCTGTAAATACCCCAGCTTCGCAGCTGTTTCCCACACAGCTAGGGAAATTGGTCAGAAATTAGAGCGCGAGAACCCTCTGAATTGAAATCCAGAGACTTTGTAATTTTATGGGGTGTTGGCAGATAGGATTGGCAACAGCTTGACCAAATCTCGTGAATTTTGGTTCAGAATGGTGCACAGGGCATACGGTAGGAGCAGCAAAAGCGTTGCGTGCCGACGGCGATTTTAGCGCGACACTTTTAGTGCATGACTTTAGAAAATTGAATAGATTTTGTTGAGTTGTTGGTGCCCAGTGCTTCTAAAATCGCCATTTTTTAGTATCCCATTCAAAAAACCGAGGGTGGTACGCGCAATTTGAGAAAACATAGCTAATTATGCCACCCAAAACTTTCTCCGCATCATGTATGTGCTGCCCATAGTTTTCAAAAATAGTTTTTAGGCTATAAAACTTTTATAATACATTTTTTCGCGTTGTAAAAAAATCTCTTAGTATATTTTTTGATGTTCTGTCGATTCGCGTTTTCAAAATATCGAAAATCGCAAAAATTTGGCTTCCCCCCCCCCCCCGTTATCCTATGTGCTGCCCATGGCTTTTCCTCAATTTTTGTTTATTCAATAAAAAATTTCCATTACATTATTTTGGGCTCAAATTAATTCTCTTAGTATATTTTTCGACGCTCTATCGAATGGCACTCGCAAAATCCCTCAGTAATTGCAAATTTCATAATAATGAGTGCCCCCGTTATTTTATTCCCCCGTTGTCCTATGTGTACCCTATCGTTGAACGCTTGAGCTTGGCTTAAACTTCAGCGTACGCGCCAACATAAGCCCAAATCTAAACTTCAACACTGTTTTCGAGCTCGTCGAACTCTGTTTTGGGGCCGACGAAGCTCAAATTGCCAAAATTTACAATAAGACGTGATTTGGATCGATAAAACAGTTGTTTTAACACTCTTTTTATTCTTCATACGCAATCGTTTTGCAAAAGCTCCATCAAGAAAATGGCACTTTTCAGCGAAATTTATGCAAAATCGGCTCGTAAATGCAAGAATAACGCATAACTTTGATGCAAATTGCAAAGATCCCCATATTAAATTAAAAATGAAAAGTATGTTTGCTATAACTTGAAAACCAGCTGGCCGATCGTGCTGAAACTTTCCTTGTTCATAGAAAATTGCCTCCGCTACCTCTGTGCAAATTTTCAGCTCCGTAGGTGCCCTCTGGCTCAAATTTTTGGGGGGTCTTTTTTTTGGGACACCCTGTATAGAATGCGATTTTCTAAGTTTTTAGAAGCGCTTTCAAAGAATTGTGACAGGAATTATCTACCAACCTGATAGTTATAGCTACCATATTTCTCTAATGTAGCTCCCTTCTAGTATAACCCCAAAAAATTCTTTCGGAAGAGCCTCGAAGAAGAGATAAATAATGCCAAAAACGTTTTTGTTTAAGCTTTGCCCCTCCCTTGGGTGGATTGAAAAACAAAACCCCGGGGTTATATTAGCGGAAATACGGCAAAACAATAATCCTACTAACAATTAGTATTTAACTAAGGCGTTCGAACGGCTTTAGCCACCATTGAGCTTAAAAACGTTATAGATTTTAATAAAAATTTAATTTTGGGTCGGAAAATACATTTTATTCGCCCTTCCGTTTTCGTTTTTCTACCCAAACGGACCGAAATTTCGAATTTGCGTACATTTCTGCTCCTACCATAAACCACAACCTTGTTAGAAACAGTATAAAAACTTCACATTTTAATAAATAAGCCAGGCTCTGTAGGAAAAAATTACTAGCAAGAACCACAACGCGAAACGGTTGAAACGCAGCGACAATTCATTCTGGAGGAGAAAGGGCGGTTTTTGTAAAATTGCAAAGATCAGTGATCCGACTATGCCATCCCTTTTGGCGTTACCTGTCGTAAGGGTCGCCACTTTTGAAATGGCGCCCATTTTTTGAGGTCGCTAATACGCTAGGTGCAGTTGAGCAAACAGAACCAGATCCAAGGTCTTAGGCTATGTTTTTAACAGCGTTCCTGTCATGTTTTCAAGTAAAAGTTGAAACCTAAACAAAATATTTATTCGGTATTACGAACAATGGTGAAGCCAAGCTCCGGGATTTCCGGATAAAGTCCCTTGGCGCTTGCTCCGTGGCCATTTACAGGTTTAACTGTTTTCACAACGACCGCTTCTCGAGGTTCTTTTCCGACATAAAATCCTTCTACCATTTCCAATTGCTTTCGGATCGCAAGGGGAACAGCAATTCGACTCGATTCCAATCTTCGCTCATCCAGCTTTACGGCCCAGTACAAGTATCGCTGATAGAACTTGAGGATATCGCTAAAGGGTGGAGCTTTACCCGACTCTCCGCATTCTTGGCACGTCGGTTTCTTGGCGTTAGCTTGGCAACCATAACACGCTCGATGGCCGCACCGGAATACGTACCGGAAATCGAAAGAGTTTCGCAATAACTACAGCCGATCGGCTTCAGCTCTCCGGAGATGACCACCCAGCCAAGTTGGGGATGGTGGTAGAGGCCTTTCTGTTTCAATACTTCTTCATAAAGAAAATCTATCGGCTTTGCGTCCCCTCCTTCGAGGCATTTCTTACAGCGAAGTTCTCCCTCAAATGTCAGGAACATGTTGCAGGCTGGATACTCATCTTCCCGATCGGCAAACTGCATCGGGACTCCGCAGCCCGGACATTCTAGGAATAGCAGCTTCACGAAAGAATGCGCCATAATCTGAAAAATTTGGTTAATTTTTATAGCAACGAAAGGAAAAAAAGGATAGACGGTTGGGGACGGGGCTCGGGAAATTGCTTTAAAACCTGCAGAAAAGATTTAGTTCTAAGTAAGCGGAATCTGCAAGAACACCAAGAAGAATCCTATAATGGCTGTACCGTTTGGCGCCACCGGACGCGCTTATCACTTTCCGCGGCCAGCCAAATTCTGTTTTGCAAGGAAATCAGGCCGCTGACGCGTAGTTTTGTGCCCTCAGAAAATTGTGACGTGTTTTATAGTAAGTACTAAAATCAGTAACAAAATTATACAGTTTTGGGACACCCTGTATAGGGTGCAAATTTTTTTCTTTAGCCTTAGTCTTGGTATATATTATTTGAAGGGGCACTGAGTACGCAAAACACTTTTTAAAGTCACCGCTAGCGGCCTGCAGGTCAATCGTGTGTTCGTCGTTGAAAACGTCATTTTTGTGCTAGCTATCTATGAGCGTTTTTGTATACCAGCTACACTGAAAAAATATTTATTTAGCGTCACTAATAGCGGATATTTGTTGTAGTCTATCTCTGCCATCCATCAGAGCATCATTGAGGATTCGAATTTTTGGGATGCAATCTTCGCATGCATTTTCGACCTCTTTTGACACCTTGTTAATTTCCTCAGCAAGCTGGCAGCCGTCACCATAGCCGGGTTGCTTTGAAATAAAGGTTAATGCTACGTCTTCAGCTTCCATCAATGCTGTAAAGGCTTTTTTCGTAAACAGCTGAAGCCCGGAAAAGTTCTTGGCGTAACCATCGTAGAGTCCCTTCAATTCGCTTGTTGTATTTTCAGCTATAAGCTCCAATTCAATTTGGCAAAGCTCACTGATGTCGTGCGCTCGATGCGCCTTCAAACCACAGGCCCCACAAACTGTTTGCTGGCACTCATTGCAGCGAAAAAAGGATTGAATGTCATCTTCTTTTGAACATCGCTCACATTGCCTCCTTGTTGGTAGTGCGCTAGCTTGCTCGCCGGCTTGAGGAGCGTCGGAATCCACGTTCCCGCGCTCTTCTTCTTCTTTTTGTGTATCGTCTTTTACTTCCGCTGGCTCTCGTTTCATCAGCCGAGTAATCGTGTCCAGGTTCCGGTGAATAGCTTCGAGATACCCTTTTCGCATCTGCGGCATAGATGCTAGGATGGCGGCCTGCACAAATTGCTGGTAAAATAGCAGTATATCGGTATCCGGCTCGGCTTTTTCGCGGTCGCATTGCCTGCACCGCTCGCTCGCCGGGATGCAATTCTTGCAAGCAAGATGCCCACAAATGAATACACAGTCGAACTCGTCCTCATCCGGGCAAAAGTCGCACAAAAGCGTACCAAATATCACGTTAGCGGTCGTCCAGCCCAGTTCCGAAAGCTGCGCATTGAGCGCTTCCCTGATCTCCTGAATGAAATGTGGCCACGGAATGCCGGTCAACCCCACGCATTTCACGCAGCCCAACTGACCGCGCACGTTGTAGATTGGGGCCGTCGAATCGTCAAAGCCGAAGGGTACACCGCACTTTGGACACGTCAGGCAGGAGAGCACCACCGCCATATCCTGGAAAATGTTCCCTAATTCTTAAGAGTGAAGCGAATGGATTTCATGGGGGAGTAGGCAGGAAACAAATTCTCAAGGACGGTTCGGTTTCAAAAGTTTCTTTCACATTATCGGGAGACCGAATTTTTGGCATAAGCCCATAAAACGCCCAGTAACATAATAGAAACTAAAGGAATTATCGACGTTGTTAAAAAATGTTGAAAAGTCGAAATTTTGGTAATATCGGCCATTTTTGGTCGAACCGTCGACTTTTTTTTTGATATGTTTAATCAAAATTTGTGAAATTTCCGCGTTCAAGCATAATAAAAAAGCATTTAGGAACACTTACACTTACACTATTTGTAAAATTTGTTTGTAAAATCGGTTCCTAAGAAAATAGCTGGTCCCCCGCCGCATAATGCACAAGAACGTCAATAAGTTAGCGTGCGGCAGAGTAACATATGATTTGTAGAACTTCAAAAAGGAATCCATGCAGGCTGTTCTGCAAAGAGAAAATGCCGTGAACAACAAGCAGGGCATCACAAATAGGCTTGCTTCGGTTCCGGCAGCCCGGCTGATAAGACAAAAGTTTTTCGGAAAAAATTTCGTTCGATCGATCGCCCCTTCCCTAATTTTTAGCCCATGGCCCAGGTAGAAATGTTATAAAAAAACTTTTCATTGCCATCAGCCTTTCTTCGAATTTCCACGTTGTTTGGTACCATAGTCTGTGGCATACGTCAATTTTCAATAAATTTTTATTCTCTTGGCCAGCACGGGTTAAAAAAACCGGAAAATGTGCAGGGCCACAAATGGGAAAAAATACTTTTGTAAAGCAGCCGTTGGCGGCGACGGGGTGGAAAGCCAATTTGGGTTTTGTTATTACAAAAAGCACGGGGATTTTGTGTAAATTCAAAGGCGAATTCGCGAAAAAACGTGAAGCCGGCGCACAAATGCGGTACCTGACAGGGCGGGGAAGCTGGGGTTTTTGGGATTCTGCGAAATTAGACTACGCTAGCGAATACGAAGTGTTCCGGGTAGAATTTTTGGGTCTTAGAGTACTGTAGACGATACGGATTTTAGTATGTTGACTCCAGACCCAAAAATACGATTCACGTTTATGTACATTCACAAATTTGGAGGTGTTGGGTGGTTGGGGAACATCATTATTAGGTATTATTTTTCGACTATTTTGAATTTCGAAAGTTGCCAAGTTTTAGAAGCTTGTAAAAAGTGCTAAAATGATCGTTATTTTTCATAGAATTAATGAAGAAAAGTCAAAATTACGTTTTTTCGGCTCTTGGCAGCTCTCCAAACTCTCGATTAATTTGCATATCGTTCTCTGCCGTCTAAAACATTTTCTAAAGCGCAGAAAACGTCTACCAGGGGCTGACAAGACACGGGCTGGAAAATTAGAAATTTTTTGGGGTAAAAATTTACATTTTGTGACACATAAAGCCAAGCAAAAAGAAAACAGCTGCAAAATAGAAATCACACCGGGTTGCTCGGGAGCCAAAGAATCAGCAGTGAAAAGCGAGGTGTAGAAGTGTGCGGTAAGTGAAGAGACATCGAAAATTCAGAATATCACACATCGGAAGTGGAGGGATCGATAGGAAGTGAATCGGGCTTGGTTGGGGGTTTTGAAAGATTTCTGGGCTTGGGTAGGTTTTGGATCGGGTACAGTATTTCTTTCTTTGATCGTACAATCTGGGACCGGTACGGTAGAATCGGGGGCGTGGAATAGTAAACGACAAGTAGGGTCTTTTTTAGCGATAAAACTTTCATATGGCAGAAAACAGCCATTTTGCCATTTTCACCGTTTCTAGAATCAGGACAGAACCGGGGTGAAAGTAAGGGAAAATTCTAAAAATGTACAGCACTACTGGAATTTTGTGTTTTGGAGGTTGTTCAGCTTCAGCAGCTCGGCCTGGAGGATCGAGGCCAACGTCGGGTTGGACTGGAAGATGGAGAGGTCCAGGCCGGAAACGGCCGGGCCGACGGGGGTTGACTGTGCGGGTTCGGGCTCGCTGACGCGGTCGATACACTCGGCGAGGTATCTGAAATTTGGAGATGATGAACTGCTTCATATTTTGTGGCTCCGAATAATTGACGATTATGCGTTAAGCCGCGCCGGCTCTTTTTAAGAACCCACTTTTGCAAGCAGTTCATCGCCGCCAACACGGCGGGCGTCCCGAAGCCGTGGGTGGAGAGGGAGAAGCCGGTGAGGGCTTCCTGGGTCCCATTATCTAGCAACGAGTCCGGCTGGTTGTTCTGCATCGGCGACCGGTCAGACTGGAGCAGTTCGGTGAACTCGCGGAGGATGGTCCTAAAATGGGGATCGTAAAAATCTAGTTTCTGGATTTCCCAAAAATTCCTCGGCTAGTTTGCCCTTCTGAATTGGCTGGAGGCACGCAATGGTGCATCGTGTTCCACAAATCTCGAACGACGTACTTGGCATGCCGTAGCTGCTCTATCCGGGTCTCTCGCTCCTCGTCACTTCTCCTCGTGCTGTGATCGGCCAGTGCGGCGGCGGGGAATTCGGCGTTGCAGACGTAGGTAAAGTCACGGGCCAAGTGGAGGGCTTCTCCTAGAACGAAGGACGGTCATGGATGCAATTTTTAGCAAACTCACCTTCGACGAGCGAGGTCAGGAGGGTGACACTTCCGGCCTTTCTTCGGCCCGCTGGTAGTGAGAGGCCGATTTTCTCAAGGGAGTCTCGCAGGGATTTGCCGCCATTTTTGGATTTCGCTCTGGAAATGAGGATTTGGTTAGTCATCTTACAGTTTTAATTTTTTTAAGTTCTTTAGTGCTTTTGACTGGAAATTTTTGGAACGAAATTCTGGGTTTTTGCATGGCAAATGACCGTTTTGCATGATTTTGGCTCCGGAAAAATTACTTAAGGTACGTTTTTGAGTGGCTTAGTCACGTTTTAAAGGGAACAGCAGTCAGGAGTTTCGATGCTATGGTTTTTTTTGGAGCGGTTTCCTTCTCAATTTCGCGCTGTAAGAAATGTGACCGTCCCGCGACCGTTTTTACAGTGAATAGGGCATGTAAAATCTTTTGACAATGTCGTGCCTGACCCGTTTGAAAACGTCAGAAGCTGCTGTAACCTCGCCTTTAAGCCCGCGAATTGTAACCCACTCCCCCCCCTTTTCAACCCCTTCAACGCCTGATTTCTCACATTTTCCTCCCGGAAAATCGTTGTGTGCCGTTGGCATGGCCTGGGCCTGTGCCTTTCGGGCGTTTTGTTTGTCTGTTTGTGCAGCTCTCCGTCTCTTTTTCGCGGTATGCCTGTGCCCAAAAACGGTGCCCCCCCGACCGCCATAGAAATCTATTGGCGCCGAGAGCTATTCGCGGGGGCCCCCCTTTCGCGTTTTTTTTGGCATGGACGACCTGAAAACGCGGGGCTGGGACGCGGGGGTCCGCTGTTCAGTGAAATGCCATCGAA